TTTTAGGAAAACACTTTCCTGAAAATCAAGCCAAATTTTCCTTTGAATGGAAAGTGTTTTCCGTTTATCAACTTTCCTAATAGCAAACAAACAGAAGAAAGTTTGGAAAGTGATTTCCCGGAAACCACTTTCTGGAAAACAAAGATAGCTAAAAAGAAAAACACTTTCCTGAAAACCAAGCCACTTTTTTTTTACTAAATAATATTTTTGTTGACCAGAAAATGTTCTCTATTGACCAGAAAGTGTTTTTCATTGACCGGAAAATATTTTCCATTAACCAACTTTTTCAATAACAAACAAACACAGAAAAGTTTGAAAAGTGATTTTCTAGAAACTGTTTTCCAAAAAACAAATATGGCCTAAATACAAAACATATTTCCACTATCGTGAGTATGAGGCATCACTGTAACCCTTCACATTACTGGAATGTATTTGATACTATATTTTAAAAAAATTTAATTTTTTTATTTTAAATTAATATATTTTTAATATTTTTAAATTATTTTAACATATTAATTTTAAAAATAATTTTGAAAAAATAAAAAAATATTATTAACATATTTTTTTAAATAAAAAACACTTTAAAAAAATTATAACCACACTCCTGGATATATTCCTAAGCAATTGCATTAATTTAGTTTTAAAGTATAATTTTAGTTGTTTTTAAAATATTTTTTTATTTAAAAATAGGTTAAAAAATATTTTGTTATTTTTTCAAAATTATTTTTAAAACAAACTTATTAAAATAATTTTAAAATATCAATAAAATATTAATTAAAAATTAAAAAAAATACCTTTTTTAAAATACTTTTAAAATAAAAAAACAAATAAAAACTAACTGTATCACTGATAAACGCCAAAACTGAATGATTATATATCTATCAAAGAGATCAAAGAGAATCCAAGAAGCTTACAACCCATTTTGCAAAGAGTAAAAATTGTTTTGTTTTTCTTTCTTTCTTTACATGCCACAGTATAGCTAAACAGCATCCCATCATCTTGTTCTTTAATTGCCTTTCTGATTACAGGGGCGGGTGTTGATACGGTACCTAACAAAAGCATTTATTTCACATCAAATCTACTGACAGTACTAATAACATCTATACTATAGCCCATTATTACTATGATTATTTTTTGAGCTCTGATTCTGATTCTGGCAATTCCTACACAATTCCCTTCTTTCACCATCCAATTGCCAACACAGACAAACGGGCCGAGTTAACACACTACCGAATAACTGGCAAGAAGAGACTGGTTGTCGAAGTCTTGACTCGGCCGAGTTGGCGGAAGAAGTCTGAGTGAGAGCGAGCCCTATAGTTAAGTCCAAGTTTACATCTTGATCTTGATGACTCTCCCTCTTTTGTTGTTGCTGTTGTTGTTGTTCATCAGTTGTCATGCTACTGCTTGTACAGTTATTTTCTTCAAAAGAAGGAGTCTCTGTTTTCTTGGGATTGAAAATTGAGTACTGACTGCTATGAAAATTGTTGTTGTATTTGAAATCAAGCTGGCTTTTTAAAAGACTGATTTCGGCTAGTGATTGAGGTGGGGTGTTTTTGAAGTCCAACTGGGTGGCTTTGGTGGTGGCAGAGGTGGTAGTTTTGATGGTGGCAGTGGTGGTTTTCTCATTTAGAGGTCTGTGTGTATGTGGGTCAATGCCACGGCTAATCAGCTTTCTCTTGATATGTGTGTTCCAGTAGTTCTTTATCTCATTATCTGTTCTTCCCGGTAATCTTCCAGCAATTAAAGACCATCTGCGAGTAATTAAAATTTAGTTCATAATCAAAATGACTAATCAAGAAATTACTCCATTGAATTACCAGAAACAACAAAGAAAGTTTGCTCTTTTAGCATGAAACCCAGAAAAAAGACTCGTTTTATTTCTTGTTTTTGGATTTAACTATCAAGTTGTATAGAAGCTTACTTGTTGCCTAGCAAGCTATGGAGCTTAATAATAATCTCGTCTTCTTCGTCAGTAAAATTCCCTCTTTTAAGATCAGGCCTCAAGTAGTTTATCCACCTCAATCTACAGCTCTTGCCGCATCTAAGCAATCCTATATAAACACAAAGAAAGCAAGAAATAAGAAGAGCTGAAAAGGGTGAGAATATCTAGATAAGATAAACACGAACAACCTGCTAATTACCACTCACCAGCAGCTTTAGGGAGAGAACGCCAGCAACCTTCACCATGGACCCTGATATAGTCCATTAGGCGCTGGTCTTCCTCTTTAGTCCAGGCACCTTTGTTGGTGTGTTCTTTTTCACAACAAGGTGAGCGACCCATGAATAGTAGCAGCGATAGCAATAATCCCTGCGATCTTCTTTGAAATCAAGATACGGAGTGGGATATCGAGAGATGCAAGAAGGTTGCTAGCTTCAGCTCAGCCTCACAGATAAATTGTGGGTTTCACGCTTTTGAAACCAGATAACAATTAGGAGGTGGTAATTACCTGATTGAACAGACAAAGAAACAAGCTTTTGACAGGATGAGATGGAGACAGACGGAGAGAAGAGAGGGGGAGTTTGGCTGGAAATTGAAAGGAGTGGGAGGGAGAGGAGAGGAGAGGATTTATATGTAGAGTAGGAGGAACAGGAGAGGAGAGAAACGAGGGAAGAACCAAGAGACTCGATCGATAAGGGGAGAGAGGGGGTGGATTTGACCAAGGTGGTGAGAGAGACAATTGGTTACAGATAGGGGCTGGATTTGGTAGGTAGCTCTACTTTTACGTCAGATTCGGTCTCTCTTTGTTTTGTTTTAGCAAGGGAGAGCTTCTCTCTTCCCTCTCTTTCAAATCAAGGAGTGGAGTCGTACACAATTATAAATCAAAATGCTTCTACACACGCATACATAAGCCATTCTATAGTCTATAATATAACCATGTCATCTTATGTTGTTCTTCTCTCGGCGAATTAGCACAGGCAGAAGCTTAGCATAGTCAATTGAGAAGTGCATATCTCACTTGTGGCATGACAAGAGTTATTATTTTGATAACCATCATATTAGTTCAAACTAGTAAGTTTTTAGATTTATTTTTTAAAAATTATTACTATAGGTAATATTAGTTCAAACTAGTAAGTTATTATTACTAAAAAAATTTATGGTAGTTAATTTCAGAGGTCACAAAATTAATCAATTAATCAAGATAAATATCATATATCTAGAACATTTATGTTCAACATTAATCAATTAATCAAGATAAATATCATATATCTTGAACACTTATGTTAATTAAAAAAATATTATTTTAATATATTTTTAAATAAAAAAATACTTTAAATTAAAACTATTATTACAATTTAAAATAAGATACAAGTCACTCATGGTAGGCAACCTTAACAAAAACAAACTCAATACAATTTAAAATAAGATACAAGTCACTCATGCTAAGCAACCTTAACAAAAACAATCATATTCAACATGATTCACATAACCTACCATTTAATTTTATTTTTAATCAAATCATAGTTAAACAAATTCAATTGATTTATTATATCAACAAAATCAATTCCTATAACATTTAGTGCATGATCAAATGCATCTAATAAATTACTTCGTGAATGGACCTACACTATCAAAACCATTAACAGTAGTTATGCACATAAAATCAATGTCTAGATGTTCAGCCAACCAAAACCTTATCAATCCCAAAACAGCTTAATAAGAACCAAGTGGAGAAAGCAAGGCACACCACATTGTTTATAGCATCACGAACGGTGATAGTGACTCTTTAACCCCGGCACTAAAAAGTTCACCGAATATATACATAAAAAAATCATCATAAATAATATAAGAGTAAGATATTTATTAAATGTTATAAACTTTATTATTTTACCAAAATCTTTTTGTAACTATGTTATTTTTTTATATAAAAAAAAAACTCTTTATTCTGGCCTCGTGGGACTTTCTCTGGACCAAGGTTTCCTCTTCTGCTCTCTTCTCTTCTACTCATGTTGAATTCGACCTTGCTAATCCATGGATTATCATCAAAAGTGCCTAATGGAAGGGAATGAGGAGTCTTCTTCTTCGTAGGTAATGACAGAATAACCCTAACCTACTTACAGAAAAAAGGGGCAATCAATTTGCCATTGAAAATTGAAATACCCCCCAAGGCCATGATACCCATCAGCCTCAATGAAAAGGAAATGATCCTACAAGTTTTAATTATAGGATAATATTTTAAAAGGACAACGAGTGTCAATAGCACATGTAGACTTTTCGAAACTTCCCCGTTAAAGTCCCTCTTATCTCTCCTACAAAGGCTATATCCTCCTTTTTTTTCTTTTTCTTTTTTCCTTGTTTGTTTTTCATTTATTACTTTATGTTTTTTATTTTATTTATTCTTTAAGGTTTTAGATCTTGTATGTATTAATGTCTACAGTAAATTCCTATAATAATAATAATAAAAAAAAAAACCCTACTGATCCACGTGAATTAGATAAAAGTTTGTGTTGGTTTTGAGTGGCAGAACATACTAGTCTTCTTTCGGTGTTTTACATGTATACGTGAGTTCTAATTTCAGGCTGCTTGTAATAAATCCATCTATCCACCGAACTATATTTTGTCTTTGTTATTGTTTTTTAATATTTTTTATTTAAAAATATATTAAAATAATGTTTTTTTATTTTTAAAATAACCTTTTCAAAACAATTTAAAAACAAGTTTGTTGGAAACATCTGCTGTCCTCGAAATGTCTCATCAAGGAACACGTCGAGACATTAATTAAGTTCGGTTTGGGCCTCGTCGTCCCAAGACGTCCATGTGCGTCTCGAGGGTAACGGTTGTGTGTAATCAATGTCTCATCGCTTCAGTAACCAAATTATTGAAGGCCGCTTTTGCCTACCTGTGACCTCCCTTTTCTTTCCTCCTTCTTTTCTATCTTTGCAGTGTGAAAGCAAATCTTCGTAGGAGGAAAGAGGGTCCTCCTGCATATCGGACACGCTCCCACTCATAAGTCACAAAGGCAACGAGAGTGCCTTGAAATGAATGTGCCATTTGCAGCCTGCAAATGGGTTTTCAAATGTTGAAGGACCACCTCCTGTCTGAGGTTCAGGCGTTGTTGTGTCTGGAGAGAAGAAAACATACATCACGATGAAGGCGTTTTACCACCTGTTCTTCGCAAGTGACTTCCATAAAGGCCATTCGTGTGCTCAAACCCTCGAATATGCTCCTGTGCTTGCAATTCCTTCTTCGTCTCTCCGCCCAGTTAGCAATGGCCAAATCACTTTCAAGCAATTTGTTTGCCTCCTCCCTGTTGGACTGTGGGTCAGATTCCATTCCATCTGATCCAATGTGTTGCCCCTTGCTATTCTTATCCATGAAAAAAGATTAATAATGTATTGCTGGCTGGTATTCAACCACTTGCAATGGTGGAAAACTTGAAATGAAATATGGAAACTAAAAAAAACGATAAGCTTAGAAGTGCAACAATATGACGAAGCTGAAAGTCATATTGTTTTCTTATGTACAAGCGTGCCTGAAGAATGCTTTTATGTGACTATGACATTAAACATGGAACCTTTCAAAACAATATAAAACTATTAAGAGCGGCGAGTCAAAGGCCAAAGTTCATAAAGGAAAGAAAGAAAACAGAATTACCAGCCTCGGTTGTTTGTGCTCTTGAACATACAGTGATGTGCTATATGGATTAATTACTAGTTAACAATAGGAAGAATGATATGTTTGAACTCTAAACCTATATGGATCTAACACAAGCAAAACTGGTAGGACAAAAGTATTTCAAATGCTAATTGCATTGAATAACAAAATATTTAAACAGCAGGAAAGACAGATCTCAATCAAAATACACAGAATAAAAACATTTGTAGTAAAATGCAAAGTTGCCTACACAACAGAACCTAAATCGCAATCACAGGGAAGATCACTGTTTAATGCTGAACTGGCAAGGCATCCCATACAAGTCACAAATAACTTAGTACAATCTTATCACTGATTTCTTAAATTAAATTTCAGAAACTACAGATATAACCAGTAACAGTATAGTAATTACACTAACAAAAAATTGTGAATGATAGGGATATGTGGCATCGATATTCCATCAGTTCCAAATCAATCAGAAGCATTTATACACGTTCAATCCCATTTAACATGACGTAAAACAAGTATTCTCTCAATAATCTTCACATAGATACGATCATCAATATCACATAACACATAACCTAGAAAGAGAATGATGTACCTAAGTAACGAGCTTCATCTTGCCAAGCATTACATTCACTGCCTTCAGATTCCATGCCTTTCAATCGAACATGGATGAGATTTGGTTTTGGTTCTCTCCAGTCTTACCCATCCATGTAGTTCATACATTCTCTCTTTATATCTTCATGAGTCAGTTGTAATGATGTCATCCCTCTTTGAGGGAATGCAGCCATGTTGATCCACTGAATGAACTCTCTATTAGCAGTGGAATAAAGCTTTTAAAGCATCACCAAACCACTGAGCATTACACTTATAGGGCTCTGTTATGAATGTTTTTGTTCCACTTGAAGCATTAAAATAAATAATGGCAATAACTGTGGGTCTGCAGCTCGAGTGGAGGGATTTTATGATGGTGGAAATAGGAACAGATGGTCAATGGAATCAAGTAGCAAAGGAGTTCAAATGCTCGGGATGAACATGAAACTCTAACCTAAGAAAACAATATCCACCACTCAGCTTCCTTCTCTTAACTAGCATGTGGCAATCCAAATCGAAGACAAAGACATTTAGGATCAGACTTGGATTGTCGCAGATGGATACTCATTGAAGAAGAATCCCTTCCTTCCAGGCTGGCAATAACAAATCAATTGGTGACTGTCCGACTCTAAAAGGTCTAAATCTTAAGCAACTACATCGATAAATCTTGAATCTATATGCAACTAGCACTATCTGAGTTAGTTACATTGCAAACTTGTCACAGACTGTAAAAACTTTATGCTTGAGAAAATGCTAGTATCTACAATACCGATCAAACTCAATAGTCGCTGACACTAGCTTATACCCTCACATCAAATCAGAAGCATCATTAACTACAAAATGAGAACCTTGCAGGTGAAGAGACTAAAATTTTAGGAAACGAACCAGATAATCAATGCATGCATGCATATGTATATAGATGTATGTATTTAAAAAGTTAACAAGCAGAGTATATCCTACAAGTTCAACAAGTTGTAATAACTCGTAAAGCTTTAGCCTGTAAGCTTATATCCAATTTGTAACCACTGACAATGAATATAGTTCAATTGTAATCCAATTCATACATCTTAATAGGAAAACATGTTTCCTTAGAAAATCAACTTAACCCTTAGTTGAACCTCGCAACTAGGTTCTCCTAAATACATTTTGCTATGTTTGGAAGCAATGAACACAAAGAAAACCGGAAGGGCAGGCTATTTTATTGCATGACAGAGTTTTGCATTAATAACTTCAACATACATTAGACAAATACGTGGAAAACATAACAAGCCACAGATTTGGCATTCAATAAGCATGCCAAAAACATGACTATCTCAAAATAAAATACAAAATTATCGTTTAATGAAAATTCAAGTGAATAATCACAATCCATTTATTCTACATAAAAAATAGCAACATTGCCTAGACACAATTCCATGTCTCATGATCAAATAAAAAAATCAAAGTTAAACCTCAATTTTCCCATATCGGTGACAAAATTAAATCTCAAAGTTCTCGTTTTCTTTTGTTAAATAAAAAAATCACCTAAAAAGCTCACTTTTCTTTCTCGTTAGACTCTGATTTTTGCGCTGCATCAGCGGCTTCCTCCTCCTTTTCCTTCTCCAATTGCTTAACAGCCTCTTGTTCAGCAGCCTTCTCAGCCCTCAAAATAGGCTCATAATAATCAGCATGAGCCTCCATACACAACTTCAACGCACTAGTAATTTCAAAGCAATTCTCCACAATATCTTCATTCTTTTCCTCCACTTGTTTAATACAGTCTTCCCATGCTACAAATGCGTCCTTGCAACCACCTCCTTTCATGAACAAACAAAACCCACACTCCCCTTCCTCTTCTTCCTCTTGATTTCCAGTCATGGGTGTATTCGTTTGGTCTGTTTCTTCAAGGATTTTGGTTGAATTCAATGACTCTATGGCTTCTTTTGATGCTGGATCATCAAAGGAGGGTTTTTCTTCTTCCGGGGTTTTAGGATCTGAAGAGGGCATGTTGGGTTTTGATCAATTTAGGGTTTTGAGAATTTGCAAAGAGGAGGGTTTTTGCCTTTTCTTGATGAATTGGTTTGGATGGAAGGAAGGAAACTTCAATGGCTGCTTTAAACCTCCTAAAAACCCTGACCCCATGTAGGGGCGATGGTCAACTGGACTGGGTCTTTCTGAACGACCTATCGTTCAAGCCTTTCGTGACCGGTTTTTAAACGTTTTGTCGGTAGCTTTGGTTTGGGTTGTTTGGCTTGCTGAATTAGAGTGAACTAGTTTTATAAAAATTCCAAGTTAATTTCTAATATAATAAAATAATGTTTATATTTTTAAAATATAATGTTTTTTTAATTTTTAAATTTAAAAATGCTGACATATTATTTATCCTTTGGGTAGAATTTTAAGTCAATTTCTAATATGAAAAACAAATACATTAGGGATATGTTTTTATATTTCATAATTTTTTTAATTAAAAAATAACAGATAGTTTTTGTAAATTTATAAAATAAACTAAGAAATATATGAATAGATAAATAAAAAAATATTGTTAACACTAATTAAATATTAAAATAAGAAACCAATCTTAATAATAGAAAAAAAAAGATAGATAAACATAAAAATATTTTATATCAATTTATTTTATTTTAAAATTTATTTTTAATATTAACATATAAAAATATTTAAAAATATAAAAATATTAATTTTAAATAATTTATTTATTTTAAATCCAATTAAAACATTATCCCAAACAAACAAAGTGTTTAAATAAAATATGAATGGGCCGGGTTACTTGTTTCTTGTTTCCTTCTATCAATATTCTTTGAACATATGCCACTGACTTCTCTATTTTATTCTATGCTATATTAATAATAATAGAGTAGATAGCTATGCTGACTCAGTTTGTAAAGTATTATTAAATATATATGCAATTAGAATTGAATTAATAAATTAAATTTAAGTTATTTTACTATTTAAGCTAAAAATTTAAATAATATTAAGAAAGGAACTGAAAAAAATTTCTTGCATAATATATAAATTTTATTTTTAAAATTTTCTTGCATAATATATAAATTTTATTTTTTTTAATACAAGAAAAAAAGTGTTATTTTGTTTAAACTTTGTGAGGTCCAAAGTATTTTTTCTTGAATGAATTTAAAGAAAATAGATTGAATGGATATATCAAAGATTTGATTTAAAATATAAAAATACATTGAACTAATTTTCCCAACCATAATTTGTAAATGAAAAAATTATTTATAAATAAAATTTTCATAATAAAATTTCATATAAGCTGATATATTAATTGTTAAATAGTTAAATACAAGGATCTCAAGAATGATAAATGATTGATCTTTCATGAAAAAATAACAACCACAATTGTTTGCACACAAATTTATTCTTATAACATCACTCTTTGTAAATTACACAAAGCATGCCAACTATGGATGCATGTTTAACAGATGCAAATCAATAATGGGACAAATGGGATTTGGGAATAAATGTCAAGATTTGCTCTTTTATTATTACAGTTCGCAGTCCTACCCCCATGAAGGATGACCAAATAATTAAAAAGGTTTTTATTTATTTAAAATTTTGACACAGTTATTTAGAAAAAAAATAATTTTTATTATCTCATAAATCATTGTAAATGAAAATAATTAAAATTTTAAAAATCTCAATTTGCATATCACCCTTCATTTTGTTTTTAGCACAATCGAACCTATTTCAACCCAAATTAAAACTAAATTGCATATTATTTTTAAATGAATGGTTGCATTGAAAAATAAAAATCTAAAATACAAAGAACAGATAAAATAAATGATGAATGATGTCTTACAATTTCATTTGAAAAGTTTAGTATAGTCTCTCATCTTTTTTAAATGATGAATGATGTCTTACAATTTCATTGTTTAGTATAGTCTCTCATCTTTTTGAACTATTAGATGATTGGTTCTTTTAGGTTTTTAAAATTTAATTTTAGTATCAAATTTTATTTCTCTTATTTTTCAGTTTTTTTTCAGATGATATAAAAAGACATGCTAGATTTCAACATAAAAGGATAAATTTTTGGATGTTTTTCAGTCCAAACATCAATATAGTTGAATATAGTTGATTTTAGTGTTAATGAATTCTATTCCATAAGAGAAATTTGAACTAGATTCTTTTTTTTTTAATTTCTCCTTGTTCAAGGAGGTAGATTTGACTATATGATTTATTTTGACTTTGAGTTAATTTTGGTTTTTTGAATTATTTCTTGGGGTTTTAGTTTTTTTTATTTTTTTGTAGTCATGAATAAATTCATCAAAGTATTTAGAGGTGTTTTGAATCAAAAATGAATTGAAAAATAGATTTTAAATTAAAAAAAAATAAACCCTTGATTTTGTGACCTATGTTGTCGGGATCTCTAAAAAACAAATGACAATTCATTTGTTATTTTTTTTTAAAAAATAAATGATATATTATTTATTCTTTTAAAAAATAACAAAAATCATTATTTATCCTTTTAAAAAATAACAAAACAAAAATAAAACAAGCCTTGACATGCATGTTGGGCTATTTTTTTAATGTCTAGGCTCATAGCTTCTTTTTTTTCCTATTGGTTTTAGAAAACATTGATAAAACAAATCATTACACTCAATTAAGTTTATTATTTGAATAATAGGTTTAACAGTGAACTCATGACATCATGGGTATTCTTCTTTTTTTTGGTTTAATGTTTTTATGTCTCTTAATTGAAAAAATAATAATTTTTTTTATTTATTATTGATAATCAATATTTTTTTCCTTAACTCAAGCCTAAAAGAAAGCAGTTTCATCATTTGTTGTCGGTAATTTATCTTTTTTATCTCATTCCCATATGTTTATCATGATTTTTTTTATTTTTAAAAATATATTATTTCATGCAAAAAATATTATGCAATTTATTATCATATAATTAAATAAAAAATAATATCTAGAATAAAAAATATATTGAATCATATGATGTGCATAATTTTTATCACGAGTTAGTTAATTGACTCGAGTTCATTCTCTTCATTTTAATCAAATGTTGTTTTTATTAATTTTATTTTTTAATATTGAATTAATTTATTATTGAGTTTTTCTATTTATTTTTTTAAATTATTGTCGCGTATTTTGCAGGTTAATCCAAATTAATTTAAAAAGATCAAATATATTAGTATTAGATCCAAATTAATTTAAAAAGATCAAATATATTTTTCATCTTAGTATTAGTATTAGATAAAAAAAAAATTGTGCTAATTTTTTTTATTACAACCCGCAATATATCAACGGAAAATTTGCTAGTTAAAAACTAAATATACGCATTATTTTTGTTGCTCCTCTCTATGGATTTACAGGTTAGAAGAGTTCAGTGGGAAAATAGCAGAAAGCAAGATTAATATTAAAAAAGTATTTTATTTTTAGTTTTTTTTATAAATAAGAGATTTAAACCCCGAACATCTTTTAGAATGACGGGATACTAATGTCAATTAAATTACAGCTCATTGACAGATGTGTTCTTTTTATTTATTGAAAATCTTTTTAGAAAAGATATAAAATAAACCAGCAATATCTCAACATTTAATTTTATATACAATTATATTTTAAGAAGCATGATGCTAATTTTAAATTATAAGGAAGTCTATTGTATAACAACGCAGGAAAAAAAAAAAAAACATATTTGAGGACGCGGTTGCGTCTTGCAATCTATATTTTTTCTATTCAAAACCATATATAACATTTTAAAATATAGTTTAAAATAATATTTGATATTATAGTAATAATTATTTTTAAAATTAATAAATATAGTTTGAGGTAGTGTTTGGTATTATAATAATGATTATTTTTTTAATTATTTTGTATTTTTTAAATAGTAGAACATCAAAAACTATTTAAAAATATTAAAAAATTATTATAAATATAATTTAAGGTAGTGTTTGATATTGTAGTAATAATTTTTTTAAATTAGTTTGTATTTTTTAAAACATATTTTAAATATTAGAATATCAAAAACTATTTAAAAACACTAAAAAATTATTATAAATATAGTTAAGGCAGTCTTTAATATTTAATATTGTGATAGCAATTATTTTTAAATTATTTTGTATTTTTTAAAATTTATTTTTAATATTAAAATATCAAAAACAATTTTAAAACACTAAAAAATTATTAAAAAAAAACGATCTAAATTTTATCAGTCCAGCGAAGTTATCCCACGTAATAGACAAATTTTGCGCCTGCGAGTATACAAAATCCTGCTATAAATAAGAAAATAGGACGAAATTATCTCAATCACAAACCATGAAAGTTGGCGTGCTATGCACCTAATTCCAAATTTTACACAAACTGGTGCTATAAATAGTGCCTGAAGTTTGTGGTTTTCTCATCACCTCTTCTTCTGTGTTTCAGTTTTTCAAACACATTCTCCTAGTTAGTCTCTTACTGACCAGCCATGGAAAGACAAGTTTGAGATCCATGCTGTGAGATCGCCATCAATGGATCGTGTTCATGGCTATTCATCCATTCTCTGTACTGTAAAGATCAGTCGGAATGAGGCGGCTGAATTGCCATGAACAACGATCTCTTCATGGACAGGATTTCTTCTCTTTATTCTTTGTGAACTTGTATGTTGATGCCTAGCAAAATCCTAACTAGTATTCGGACGCAAGGGTGGCTGAAATCGCTATAAATGGATCGTGTTCATGGCACTTCATGTATTCAGAAATATAAGGTATATGAAATGCTATGAACAACGATCTCTTTATGGGGATGATTTCTTATCTGTTTATTCCTTGACAAGCTGAGAAGATTGTTTGTTATAAATGGATCGTGTTCGTGCCCACCACTTTGATTTTTTTTCAGCATAAAAATTCCAAAAACTTTTATATATTTTCTTTTTGAAGGTCTAGGAAATACCAAGAAATTATAAACAACTCAGATTTTTTGTTTTTAATATAATCCATCCCTTTCCCTTTGTGTTTTAAATGAACATCACTGTCATCGTTATAGAACTGAACTGTACAAGGCATCTGCTTCAATTTTTAATAATCATGGTTTTTATGCTTAATTTGCTGATGGTTTAGCGTGTGTTTGAAATTGAGTAATTTTTATGGTTATATTTTAAAAAGTAAATTAAAAAGATATAAATTAAAAAAAAAAGAGCTAACCAAGGCGTGA